GTGTAGGAGGTGGGGGGAGTGTGTTGGAAGCTATCAGAGAGGCTGGGCCAGCAGCTTTGCTTCACCTCACAGGTGGTTGTTGGCCACTCCTGATTTCCTCAACTGTCATTAGCTGTCTGCAGTCCCCTGTAACTGTTGGGTTTTTTTTACCTCAGAACACTGAGCTCTGCAGCTGACCAATGGGGGGGGGGTGCAGAGAGGCAGCTGCCTGGCAGCCACATAGGAATCAATGGGGGGAGCACATTTTCCCCCTTTTGACCCAGTTAGGGGACAGATTTCTAAAAAAACACCCCTCTTAGCGAGCACCTACGCCATGGTAGGAGCACTCTCCCCAAATTTGGTGTCTCTAGGTCCAGCGGTTTGGCCTGGGTGTTGATTTTACGGTGAGGGGACTTTCTTTTATATATATAAGATTTGCATTAATTGATCCGTCCGCCTTTCTCATAGGGACTCAGGGTGGATCACACATAGTGAGTCAGTGCAATCAACAAAATGGGTCATCCGATAATCCAATGCATTTGGATTTTGGAGGTCTGGGACCATCAGAAGAAACTGAAGCATAGCATAACCATGCACATGACACATTAAACAGTACAGGAATTGCGTAAATAGGATCCTTCTTATAACATGCTAAACACAGCAGTATAGACCACGGTCCTTAATCGTTTATCCAAGCAAGTTTGTGGAACTGTTTTTGTACCGGGCAATCCGGTCGTCTGCGCAGAAAAGCCCGCTTGAATAGTTCGGTTTTGCATAGTTTGCGGGAAACCAGGAGAGTAGAGGGCTTTCCTGACCACCCTGGGCAGGTTCGTTCCGCAAGGCGGGAGCCACAACAGAGAAAAGCACATAGAATCATAGAGTTGGAAGGGACCTCCATGGTCATCTAGTCCAACCTCCTGCACAGTGCAGGAAATTCACAACTGCCTCCCCTCCCCACACCCCCAGTGACCCCTGTTTCATAGATCCAGGGCTATTTTTGGGCAGGAACGCACAGGAACGGAGTTCCGGATGGCTCCTGAGTTGGCCACGCCCAGCAGGAACTCATTAGCATAATAGGCCACACCCAACAGCAGAAACTCATTAGGATTGGCTACTTTAGGGGGGTGTGGCCTAACATGCAAAGGAGTTCCTGCTCCAAAGAAAGCCCAGAATAAGAAGCAAAAGGTGGGTGTGGCTGGATGACCACACTTTTGGTAACATAGGGGTGCAGCCTAATGGGCTAATGAGCTGTGCTGTCAGGGGTGTGGCCTAATATGCTAATGAGTTTCTGCTGTTGGGTGTGGCCTATTATGCTAATGAGTTCCTGCTGGGCTTTTTCTACAAAAAGAGCCCTGCATAGCTCTATGGGCTGACGGCTAGGACAGACCACTGAAGGTTGGCCGCCATCATCTAATAATCTAATAATATTAATATCTTAGTATTATTTAATGTCTAGCACCTTTTAATGTTGGCATGTTTTATATGGTTTTAGGATTATTTAAACTGCTTACTTGTGTGTTTTTATTCTTTTATGTAAGCCGCCCTGAGCCGGCTTCAGCTGGGAGGGAGGGGTATAAATCAGATAGATAAATAAATATATATGCCCAGAAGATGGCAAAAAAACCAAACACAACCTTCCAGGATCCCCGGCCAAGCTGGCCTGGAGGAAAATGGCTTCCTGACCCTAAAGCGGCGATCGGCATTTCCCTGGGCGTGTAAGAAAGGGCCACGAGAACGAAGCAGTGATGAAACCCTCCCTGCCCTCCCTCTCACGATCTGCCCACGTTCACAGATTCAGCATTGCTGTCAGATGGCCTCCAAAGAAGGGGAGCCCACCGCCTCCCGAGGAAGCCTGTTCCGCTCAGGAACCGCTCGAACTGTCAGGAAGTCCTTCCTAATGTTTCACCGAAAACTCTTCGGATTTAACTTCAACCCGTCGGTTCTGTTCCGACCTCCTGGGGCAGCAGCACGGGCAGTCGTCGATTTTGCCCATTTGCCAATTGCCATCCGCAGAAGCCCCCGCTGACTTGAGGAAAGTTGTCATGGTGGAGCATGGGGGGGTGGACGGGGGGGTCCCGCAAATCAGAGGGGCCAAGGGCTGAATCATCCGGACTGACGTTCTTGCCGTCGTGGGCTAAAAGGGATCATCTGAGCTGAGCAGCTGCCATTGTGCCCTACCCGACACAACATTCTTTGACAAGTAGAAATTCCCAGCCAGGCTTTCCTCCTGTCCTATGTAGAGCAGCCTCCCGCAGACTGGGTCTCATGGTCAGGCTGGACAAAACTTGTAGCAGAGGCCACCGTAGAAAGCGTGCAAAGCAGTGCTCCCTCTAAGCCGTGGAGTCCTGTGAGCAAAAAATTCTGCTTTGTGAGTTGTGACTGAGCAGTTTGGCCGATGCATAAATCAGTTTGCTCTGGAGCGATGCTCCCTCTAAGCCGTGGAGTCTTGTGAGCAAAAATTCTGCTTTGTGAGCAGCTAGCATTCAAGTTGCGAGCGTGCGATCTAGCTGCCACATCAATTAGTTTGCTCCAGAGCCCTCCTTCCTGAGCCGAGACAAAAAATGTGTGAGCCGGAGGCTAAAAAACTGTGAGCTGGCTCACACTAACTCAGCTGAGAGGGAACACTGCTCTGGAGCTGTCCTTCCTGAGCTAAGCCGAAAAAGTGTGAGCTGGAGGCTAAAAAACTGTGAGCTAGCTCACACTAACTCAGCTTAGAGGGAACACTGCTTGCAAGTAATGACCTGCTTGGGTTTCGAGCAGCTGCCGGGCATGTCGAAGGTTCTGTCCCCGAATTTCCTGTTAAAAGGATCCAAGGCAGCAGCTGGGTCAGGGGAAAAGACCTTTCTCGGCCCGAGAACCCTCAAGAGCTGCTGCTGGCTAGTCCTGGCCCAGACGGACCAGTAATTCGACTTGCTACCCCGGGGAGAAAAAAATACGGGCTTGAATACCGAAGGTTGCATTTACGCTTTTTGGAAATAGGTTGTGAATTAGCTGCTCAAAGGAAGAGTCGGGTCACCAGGGGGGCTGGGGGGGGTCAGCAGGGAGCCACCGGCCGGAATCCCGTTACGCAGAATCTTCTTCTCTTTTTCCCCTCATTCCTCCTCCGAACAGTGTCGCCGACGACCTGGACCGCCACCCCGAGCGCCGGATGAAAGCCGCCTTCGCCACTTTTGAGGAGGAGAACCTTCCCCGCCTCAAGCAGGAGAACCCGAACATGCGCCTCTCCCAGCTCAAGCAGCTGCTCAAGAAGGAGTGGATGCGATCCCCCGAAAACCCCATGAACCAGAGGCACACTGCCTACAACAGCCAGAAATGAGACACCAGGAGGGAGGGAGGGAGGGGCGCAGGCCGGCATGTGCAGGAGAGAGAGTCTCCGTGCCCCCTCTTCCTCACCCCCCCATATCTCCAAGGACTGCTGTGACAGCCCTCCTTGCTCCACTTTTAAGGATCGAAAAGGTGCAACTAATTCCCCCCCTTTCCCCCCTCCCTCTCTCCGAGCCCTTTGCTTTGTTGATCTCCTTCCCCCTCCCCCACTGAAGTTCCCCATTAAATCAAGAGGGTTTTCCCTCTCCACGGGTCTTCCTGAGCTTCTTGGGGTGCAGAGTCTGGTCGATTTCAGTAATAGCGGAGCCAAACATGCAGCGGTCCCCCCCCCCGAGACTGGCGGGGAGCGGATTCTATGAAAAGGGGCGGCCCCCGCCCTGTCCAAGTAGGTGACTTTTCAAAGCTTGGGCCCGCTTTGTTAAAAAAAAAACAGCCGAAGCCGAGCCTGCGCGGCGGCTCTGCCGTCTGCCTTGCTTTGAATATCGGCGGCCCTTCGCTTTCGAAGGTGGGGGGGGGGCACCTCTACAAACACCCGAAGCGAAACGGGTCCCTTGTTCCCGCTCGCGTTGTCAGGGCCGTGCCTCCGCAGAACGCGGACGGCAGGCTGGTGCGATCGAGCTGTACGAATGAAACGATTCGCCGTGCTTTACAGAGCGAGCGTTTCAGGGGCCAAGAGTAGGCCCGGGAGCCCTTTCCCCTGACCCTGCTGGGTTTGGGGACGAGGAAGGCGTTTCGACTGCTCCTCTCCACTAGAATGCCCCTTGCACGTGGGAAGCCAGGAGCCTTCCGCCCCCCCGATCAGGAACTTTCTTATTTCCAGGGCTTTCTGTCCCAAGAAGCCCAGCTGTCATCTGAAGCAATACAGCCCAGACCCAGGTTGACTGTTACAAGGAGAACATGGCTCAAGGGTCGTGAAGATCATCTTCTTGCTCTTAGCGGAAATCGGCACACGCCGTTGGTCTGGCAGACCCAGTTCCAGTGAAGCCCTGCCAGCATTTCACAGGGGAAGATCCCGCTGGTCCGTTCCACTAGTGGAGGGTGCTCTTCTCCGACCCGGGTCTTCCCATGCCTCTCGCGTCGGCGAGGAAGTGCCTCTCGCCAGACTAAAATGCTAGCGGAACAGATCCAGGGGATCCGACCTCTAGGCACCGCCTTCTCCCCAAAGACCCTTTGCGGAGGCCCGCTGATGGAAGAGAAGCTGGGACTCCCAACGGCAGAAGGTCCCTGTGCCCTCTTTGCATCTAGGGTTAGTCCGAGAGACTCGATTCCGGCATTGCTGATAGGGCACGGTTCTCAAGACCGGACCGGAGCCTGTAGGTCCCCGGATTGGAGCAGAGGTCCCTGTGCCCTCTTTGCATCTAGGGTTAGTCCGAGAGACTCGATTCCGGCATCACTGATAGGGCACAGTTCCCGGACTGGAGCCTGTAGGTCCCCGGATTGGAGCAGAGGTCCCTGTGCCCTCTTTGCATCTAGGGTTAGTCCGAGAGACTCGATTCCGGCATCACTGATAGGGCACAGTTCTCACGGCCGGACCGGAGCCTGTAAATCCCCGGATTGAAGCGCCCGCCTGGTTCTTCCGGCTGCTCCCGCCTCAGTCCCTCTTCTGGACTTGTGTTTCCCGCTGAGCCCCTCCACGTTTTCGATGCTGTCGAGCCAAGTCCCTGCAGGGGACACCGCATATACGTTTTACAGCAACTGCGACGTCCCCTTCCCGTCCTTAATGCACACAGCCCTCCTCATGGCCACGCAAGAGCGTGCGGCAGGATTCTCCCTCTCTCCGCCACACTTGCCGTCCCCTCCCGCCGGCTTCCGACGAGGCGTGCGTCGATGAGGGATGTCGGCAAAGGGGGAGCTGCAACCCCCCCCTTCCCAGAATCCTTCCTATCGATTTGCTCTTCTTCTCCTGCCGCAGCGATGACACAGCTGCATCAGGTCGCCTTCCTCGGGGACTGGGTGGTGGTGGGTTCCCGTAGCAGAGCTGCAAGCCCGTTGGTGGGGAATCCCGGCCATGGGTATGCCTGCCTCTCTTTTTCTCTAAAGCCGCTTCTCTTTCCTTTGGGCCCGCTTGCGCTCTGGGCGCTGTCCCAGTGTGCGTTCCACCCAGGCCTGCAGCTACAGTGGTGCATCTTGGGGCCTGGCCCCCTGACTTACTGCCAAGGCCCCCCGACTTCCCATACTTTGAGGGGAGTGCAGGAATGTGTACAGGGTGCCCCCTGAATTTTAAAGAATCCTAGCTACGGGTCTGGATCTACCCTCTGGGTCCGTCCCCAGTCGCAGAAATCGATACCAGTGGGGCAAGGCTTGAGCCCAACGCCGGTGCATGGCCGGGGAGGGTGCCATTCCTGTGAGCCATCTTCCACAGGGCTTCCCCTTCCTTCCCGGTCCCCACTCCCATCCAGCCCCTCTTTTCACAGCCGCTCGCATGGAACCTCCCTTCCCCTGGGGCCCCGCACAGTCCTTGCAAGAGTCGTTCGTCCTTCGGTGGTCCAGTGGCATCCCGACCCCCCCACGACTGCAGGGAGGGGAAGCCGTCGGGTGCCGAAAGACGAGCAGTGGACCTAGGGCTCCCTTCTGCGCAGACGGTTTCTGATTTCCCCCAGCGGGGACAAAAGAGGAGCCATCTTGCTTCCTTTTGTGGCTCCCTCCGCGCCCGCCCCCCCCAAGTCTCACCTTGCCAATTCCTGGGCAGGTGGCAATGCCCGTGAGCCACCCCTGGCCCCGCCCACAGCTTCCCTTGTTAAGCCTCCGCCCACCCCCTTCCTCCCACGGTTCCCTTTGGCCCCTCGTGCCGTTCGGGGTAGATCGTTGGCGAGTGCCGGAATTCAACAGCCCTTCCTGGGCATGTTGTTCCAGCACTGAAGGGTGTGGGACCGGGGTGGACAGGGGTTGGGGGTGTTACAGCTCAGTGCTGTTTTGGAACACTTTTTTTCTCCTGCTTTGCTCATCTCCCCCCCCCTCGGAGTCTTAGAGGGATTATGGGGCAATGGAACAGGCGCAGCATGATCCTTTTTGGCCGCGAGGGCTGTAAGAGATTAGAATGTCTTTTCTCTTTTTACAAAAAAAAATGGATTGCTCCCTCCGTTCCCCGACTCTCCGGCACACGCGCGCACCCCGCGTCCCTGCCCATTTTCTCATTGCTGGAATAGAATCGGGTTGCCTGCAGCGAAACTCGAAAAGCCATAATTACGCCTTCCCAGTCGGCGTGACTTTTCCAAGACGCCCGTGGAAAGAAAGCAGGCGCGCGCACACACACAAAACCCCTCTTGCTGCGTCGTGCTGCAATTAAGTCGGCTCTGCTTGACGGCGTCGCCGGGAAAAGGCACACACGCGCGGGCACATGCACGTTCTGACTCCAGGACTATTGCTTTTGGAAGGCAGGGCTTCTGGATGTTTGGATGGCTTATCCGGCGGGAGGCGAGACTGCCAAAAGCCAGTGCCAGCTTGAACGCCCACTTGGGCGGTATCTCTTTTCAAAGAAGATCAGTCTTTAGACAGGAGCCATGCCTCTGCCCAGACTGTCTAAAGATGCTCCCATCTGGCCCCGAACGAAGCGCAGAACATCTTTCTCCCCCCCACCACCACTGAATACGGCTGGATTCGCTCCCTTCCCGCAGGGGGGAAGGCCATGTCTGCCTTTAAATGAATTCGACCCATCTTGTTAAACCCTCTCTAAGGAATAAAGTATTTGAACTGTGCTGTCTTCTGTGTCTTTTCTCTGTGACCTTTCTTTCCGAAGTGGGCACCTGTTCAGCCTACCCATAACGGTGAGAAACTGCCTAGAAACAAATCATTAGAGACCTCGAGGGGCTTCTCCCAAGGGCACTTGTAGCGTACACCATTTTCTCTCCAAGGGTCAAGCGAGGGGTGGGCGGGAGAGATCTGATTCTGCAGGTCTGCAGTTGAAATCAGGTGCGCATAGCATGGATTGGCTAGTGGTTGTGTCCTCAGCTGGCTACACACACACACCTCTTCCCCTTGAGAAGTTTGACATTAAAAACATGGGGTTTTCCCCCCAAAAAAATGAATTTTATTGAGTAGCACACATGTAAAACTTTTTTTTTTTAAGGCAGACAGATTTGGCAGATCCGGATTCAGATCTCTACTTGGCTACGGACCTCACTGGGTAGTGTCAGGCCGACCTCTCGCTCAGCCTAACCTTCTTTGCAGGGTGTTTGCCAGTTCGAAACAGAGAACGGACAAATGTATAATCTGCCCTCCCTGGAGAAACGGTCTGGTGAAAATGTGGTAGACTTTAGACTGAATTGGAAGCGTGTGAAGGGGGCAAGACCAGCAACTTAATCAACATTGGGATTGCATGGCAAATCCTTTGCACTGTCAGAAGGAAGCCAACCAAGGGAGGAATAATCTATGGCAACTCCCCTGACCTGGATAGCCCACGCCAGCCTAATCCTGTCAGATCTCAGAAGCTAAGCAGAGTCAGCCCTGGTTTGTGTTTGGATGGGAGACCACCGAGGAAGTCCCGGGTCGCTGTGCAGCAGCAGGGTATAGCAAACCAATTCTGAGCGTCTCTTGCCTTTTCAGAACTCCATGAGGTCGCCATAAATTGGCTGCAGCTTGACGGCCAAAACAAAAACCTCCTGTTTGGAGTGTTTTGTCTGTGTGCAGCCTTAGGAAAGGGGCAGACCCTTCTGGGAAGAGAGGAGGGCTTGCTGCAGAGGAGAAACGGAGGTTCGGTGGTAGAACATCCCAAGTACGACCCTTAGAAGCTCCTGTTAAAGGACCTCGGGTGGGGAATGTTGGGGAAAGGCCTTTCTCTGCCTGAGACCCCAGGAGCGGCTGCTAGTCCCGAGCAGACGGTACGGAAGTAGATGGCCCCATGTTCTGAGTCAGTTTAATCCGCAAGACTAGACCATCAAAAGCTTTCTAAATATTTTTCCGAAAGAATTTGAGGAAGCTGATAGATACCTGATTGTATACATGTCAACGGCGGCAAGGATATTATATGCCAAATACTGGAAGACTCAAGAAACACCAACCAAACAGGAATATAGTAATAAACCTTTAGAAGCGGCGGAAGTAGATAAATTGTCTATGGAAATGAGAGGCACGAAGAAATTGAAATATCAAAAAACCTGGAAGAGAGTATATGATTGGTATAATGTGAACGGAGTCAAAGACTAAGGTGATATGGTAATAATAATATCTGAGTATGTAGTAATATATAATAACGGAACTAGAGAATATTAACAAATATTAGAGAATAATGAAGCGATGGATTAGGTGTAGTGACAAACTGTAACAAGTCTCTTGGTTTATATGTTGTTTGTTGTAGTTGTTTATGTCTTTGTTTAGGAGTATAAGAAAACAATAAATGTGTACCCACGGGTACTTCCCCCCCAAAAAAAAAAAGATACACAGCTTTCACAAGTAAACAGTAGACATCAGTCTATTGCAGTACAATAACAGTAAATCGAAGATACGATAGAATTGGTGGTCACAATTCAAAAACACTATTTGCAAATTCAAAATACAATTTGATGATAGTGGAAAATATCCAACAAGAGACTCCTCTATATCCTTTGAATAGAATAGTGTCCAAGAGACCTCAAAGTCCACAAATAACAATACAACAATGAAATATGAAAAGCCAAAGAGAGGTTTGTAGTTCCATTTTCAGCCGTACAACTGAAGAAGATTGCTTTGAAACGTCTGGCATACCTGGGAAGGACATTTTCGGCTGTTAGACGTTTATTTGTGCTTTGGGACATCCTCTGCCTTTTTGTTGACTTTGAGGACTTATGGGTGGTATTATAGTCAAAGGATATAGAGGAGTCTCTTGTTGGACATTTTCCACCATCATCAAATTGTATTTTGGATTTGCAAACAGTGTTTTTGAATTGTGACCACCAATGCTATCGTATCTTCAATTTATTGTTATTGTATTGCAATAGACTGTCTTCTGTTTACTCGTGAAAGTTGTGTATCTTATGATGGTCTACCCTTGCGGTTTATATTTTTGCATACTACATACACTTGGGGGTCCCTATTGTTTGGCTGAATCAGTTCAAGGCAGCTTTGTATGTTCAAGGAGCCTTTTGTTTTTCTTAAATCCGTTTGCTTTAACACCGAACGTACTTTCCTGTCGTCACCTGCAGCCACCCCTGTACAGAGTACCTGTTCAAATATCCCGGCGGAGCATAACTCAAACCAGCCCCTGGCCGTTTCAGAATGCTTTCTCTCAAATTTGCAAAGCAGAAATCAAGAGTCCGGCTTGCAGTCTCTGAGACGCCGTTCCGTCAGCCGCCCAGCCGGGCAGGGATCCCGTCAATTACAGGGCTGGGAGTAGAATTCTCCCCCCTCCCGGGCTGGCTGCCCCCCCGGCTGGCTGATTGCAGACACCTAACCTGCCTGGCAGATCAGCTGAGATTGGGGGGGGGCTTAATGCGGACAGAATTGGAAGCATTTGTCGGCTAAGCGTTTTCTCAAAGGCAAGCCCTTGGTGAGGCAACCTCTGCTGCCCGTCCTCTGTGACCCTCCCGCAAAAAGGAAGGCACAGCTTTGCTGACTGAAATGGTAGAAACGTGTCGTGGAGAAAAGAGGCCAAGTCTTGCTCGCCGGAGAGAGCCGAGGCATGGGGGCTGCCTGCTTCTCCTTGGTCATCAGTGGCTTTCAGAGGGAGGACGTCTGTTGTGTTATTCCATACCTAGAACCTCCATCTGTAGAGGTAGTCTATCTCTGAATCCAGGAGGGGATGGAATATCCTTCCTCAGAACGGCCTGGCTCTTGCACTCGTTTGAGAGTGTTTGGCTTTTAGGGACAACAGTGGACCCTCCACGTTCAGGGCCAGTATATCTCTAGATGCAGTTTGTTGACCTGCTGCCCTCACGCCCGGTTTGTGGCTTTCCCAGAAGCATCTGGCTGGCTGGCTGCTGTTAGTCCAGCGTCCTGTTTCCATATTTTTATGAATTGTCCCCACCAATGCTTCTTCTAAGCTGTGGAGTCTTTTGGGCAAAAAAAAATTACTTTGTGATCTACTGGCATTAAAGTTGTGAGCACGCGATTTGGCTACTGCGTAAATTAGTTTGTAAAATGCGTGAGCCGGAGGCTAAAAAACTGTGAGCTAGCTCACACTAACTCAGAGGGAACGCTGCTCCCCACCAGTGTTCCCTCTAAGCTGAGTTAGTGTGAGCTAGCTCACAGTTTTTTAGCCTCCAGCTCACACATTTTTGTCTGAGCTCAGGAAGGATGGCTCCAGAGCAAACCAATTTATGTAGGAGCCAAATGGCTCACTCACAAATTTAATGTCAGTAGCTCACAAAGTGGAATTTTTGCTCACAAGACTCCTTAGCTTAGAGGGAACATTGCTCCCCACCCCCTCTAGAGCTCAAGGCCACAGGTGTGCTTTGTTCATTCTATCCTCATAACAACCCTGTGAGGTAGCTGAGACCAAGAAATCGACTGGCTCACAGTGAGCTTCATGACCAAATGGGGATTTGAACCCGGGTCTCGTAGCTCCCTGTCCAAGCACTAGACCACACGGCACTCGCTGGAGGAGATGGATCCTGCTTGGTCTGACCCATTTTATTTGGGATCTGGCTCAGTATCTTCCGGTCTTCCGTCTGCTTCTCTGTGTCTTTTCTCCTAAATAGGACTATGAATCCACAGCACAGGAAACCCTCCCCCACCCATGTGGCACATTCATTTTCCACTGTAGCTGACGATAAATGGCATCTATAACAGATCCCTGACGCTTCCCCACTCCCAGGCATATTTTCCCACCAAAAATATCTTTAGTTCACCTCAGTGACTGAGCTGCCCTTCACTAGCATGTATTTCTTCTTTATTTTATAAGCTTTAACTGTCCCACCCTATCACGGATATTTGTTTAGGCTTAGGACCCAGCACAGGAACTAGAGGGAAGACAGGAGCTGTCTTATTTTAAAATAGCCTCATAAAAGGGTGCATGAGGTAAAATTAACTTTCAAAACAGAATAAAGGTTTTAATAAACAGGCAGGGACTATATAAATACGAGGATTCAAGGTGCAGGGACTGCTGAGGGAAAACTCTCATATATCCAGAACTGAGGTTTTTGAACATCCAAGAACGTGTTGTTGCCGCTTAATTTCTGAGTTTCAAGTTCTTTTCAGTGAGAGGTTTTTGCTTATTATGTGTTTCAGCTGTTACACAGAATATTAAGTACAGTTTCTTAGAGAATAGCTTTGTCTTAGTACTTCTAGGTTTCTCCCTTCAGAGATCTAGGTTTTCCCTTTAGTTAAGTCCGCATGGTCAAAGCAATGGTATTCCCAGTAGTCATGTATGGCTGCGAGAGTTGGACTATAAGGAAGGCCAAGCACCGAAGAATAGATTCTTTTGAACTATGGTGCTGGAGAAGACTCTTGAGAGTCCCTTGGACTGCAAGAAGATCCTAAAAGAAATCAACCCTGATTGTTCCCTGGAAGGCCAGATAATGGAACTGAAGCTCAAATACTTTACCTTTTTACCCAATGAGAAGGGAGCCCTCACTGGAGAAGACCCTGATGCTGGGAAAGATTGAAGTTCAAAGAAGACGGGGACGGCAAAGGATGAGATGGTTAGACAGTGTCATAGATGCAACGAACATGAAATTGAGCCAACTTCAGAGGACGGCGGAAGACCGGAAGGCCTGGCATGATCTGGTCCATGGGGTCGCGAAGAGTCGGACTCGACTGTGTGACTGAACAACAACAAC